TTTGCTGAACCTTTACCTTTCCAAGAATGATGACCTCTCAAAAAAATTAATGATCTCACCCAGAAACATTCCAAAAATATTTAAAATGAAGTTTTATTATTCTTGCCTTGTGTGCTTTTCCCGAGACATACCTATATGGCTGTCTGGAAATCCATGGGACATTCATGATGCATGTTGCTGTTGTTGTTATGTGCCGTCAAGTCACTTATGACTCATATCGACCCTATGTACAAGAACCCTAAAGACTGTTCTATCCTATGCCAACCTCACTGTCTCTCACACACCTAGACATTACCCCAATCATTGAAGCAATCTTTCTTATCCAGGGTCTTCCTCTCTTCCGTTTTCCCTCCACCCTCCCAGACATAATGTCCCTCTCCTTGCAACATGTCCAAAGTATGTCAGACAAAGCTTCAGAATCCTTGCATCCAAGGAGCAGTCCAGTTCCATCCTCTCCAGGGTGAACCTGATTGTTCTAACAGTCCATGTTATATTAAAAACTCTTCTTCAGCACCACAGTTCATAGGCATCAATTCTCTATCATCCCTAGTCACTGTCCAGCTCTCTGACACATAGAACACAATTGTAAAAACTCTGGAGAGGTCCCAGACAGCTGACTTTCCAAATGCAATTCATCTCTTGATTTCCTGGCTGCTGGTATCAAGAGTGTTGATTATGCATAGCAAGTGATTAAAAATTAGGTGCTCATTAGTAGCCAAATTGACATTATTGATCCTGAGTAATTTGGATAGATCCCTAATAGTAGAATTGCTGAATGCAATACTTCTCCTGATTTCTTGACTACTGGCACCAAGGGTGTTGATTATGGATCCAAGTAAAATGAAACCATTGATAATTCTAATATTTCTCCATCTACCATGATGTTGCTTGTTGGTCTAGTGCTGAGTATTTTTGTCTTCTTGATGATGAGATGTAATGTGTATTGGAAGTTGTAGGCTTTAATCCTCTGCCGTAATTGTTTCAAGTCCTCCTCATGTCCAACAAATAAGGTTGTGTCATCTTGATAATACAGATTGGTTATGAGACGTCCTCTAATCCTGATTCTTCTTAATAAAGTCCAGCTTCTTAAATTATTTGTTCAGCATACCTCTCTAGAGTGCTAAAGAGAAATGATGTCAGTCTAGAAACTAAGGTTTGTCTGATCCAGGCAATGGTTTTCTCAATTATTCTCTACGTATCTTAGAGCTAGACAATGACTAAGGATGACAGAGGAAGAATTGGTGACTTTGAGTTGTGGTGCTAGAGAATAGTATTAAACATATCATAAACAGCTAAGAGAACAAACAGGTCTGTCCCGGAGAGGATAAAATCAGTGTTTGTTTTTTTTTTTTCCTTGGAGGCAAGAATCTTAAAACTCCATCTCATGTACGTTGGGTATATTGCCAGAAGGGACAGTCCTTGGAGAAGTATATTATGCTTGGAAGGGTAGAGGGTTAGTACAGAAGAAGATGACCCTGGATGAGATGGATTGACACAGCGATTGTGGCAATGGGGGCAGGTATGCCAGAGACAGTGAGATTGGTTCAGAATAAGGAAAGATGCACAGGGTTGTTGTTCGTAGGGTCAGTATTAACTGTGGTCAGCTCAATAGCACGTAACAATAACATATTGAATAGGTATGAAGAAAGTTATAACCCTAACTCAACTCCTCCTATCTCAATAACTCCTGAGCTTAAAGCATACAGTGTTCCCTTGTTGTGTTCAAAACACATTTGAAAGAGTTAGAAATTATGGACCCTACTTGACTCAAAGTTCACAAACTAAATACTGATGAAGCAAGAGCAATTTCTTAAAGCATCCTGTTGCTAATTCACTGTTCACCTCTTCAACATTATTTTGGGTTAAAGCTTTTATGTAGCCTGACGACTTTTCTACAATGTGGAAGTCTTAAGTAATTTTCTATTCTACGTTTAGTTGCTAATATTAGCAACAATATGTTGAATGAAGAACTAAGGTCTGATTGTACACTCAGTCAGGAAGGTCAAGAGGAAATGAAAAATATCTCATCAAGCTTCTCTCTGAAGGTTTCATTAAATATTCATCCTTTAGACCAGAGAATATCTCAAAATATTAAAGCTTTTAAAGTTATTACTCTCAAATTCCTATCATGATCCAGTTGTCTGTGTTATTTAAAATGCTTCCAAAACTCTGACATTGGAACTGCAATATTTTACATATCCTGTACTTAAGTGCAATATTATGAAAGCATTCTGGTAACATACCAACATATTGCCAGGCTTTAAAACTTAAGCAAAACAAAACAAGATACATAAAGGAAACAAATGAGTACAGTACATCTGAAAATGGCTTCTGAATATTTCTCTTTAACAACTGGAGCGATACTGATGGATGACACAACCTTGCTTGCTGAAAGTGAGAAGGACTTGAACATTTGCTGCAGAAGATCAGAGACCACAGTTTCCAATATGAATTACATCTCAATATTGAGAAAACAAAAATTCTTACAGGTGAGCCGATAGGCAACATCATGCTAGATGGAGAAAACACTGAAGTTGTCAGCTATTTTATTTTACTCAGATCCATAATCAACACCCAAAATCAAAAGATTTATTTCATATGGGAAAGTTTGCTGCCAAAGATCTCTCCAAACTACTACGGAGAAATGATGTCAGTTTAAAGATTAAAAGTATGCTTGATTCAGGCCAATGTCTTTTCAGTTACTTGTTATGTATCTGAGAGCTAGACAATGAATAAAGATGACAAGAGAAGAAATGATGCTTTTGAATGGTGATGTTTGAGAATAATAAAGAATAGCCTATGTACTGCCAAAAAATATATATATCCTGAGAAAAAAGTTCAAGCAGACTGCTCCTTAGTGACAAGGATGGTGAAACTTTATCTCAAATACTTTGGGCATGTTGCTTAGTTTTGTTAGGTACCATTAAGTAAAATATGACTCATAGTAACCCTGTGAACAACTAAGCTGAACACTGTCCTATCTTTTGCTATCCTTACAATCTCTGGCACACTGAAGCCCATTGCTACAGTCACCATGTTAAAGACCTATTTAAGGGCTTTCCTTTCCTTTGACGACCCTCCATCTACCCAAACATGATGTCCTTCTTTAAGGAAAAATCTCTCCTCGCAACATTCTCGGTCAGATTATGTGAGATGGAACCTCATCATCTTTGCCTCTAAGGAGCATTCTGGCTGCACCTTCTCCAAGACATATCTGTTTGTTCTTTTGCTAGTCCATTGGATATTCAGCACACAGAGTTCAAAGGGATCAATTATTATTCTGTCATCCTTAATCATTGTCCAGCTCTCAAATGCATAACAAGTGACTGTAAAGACCATTTCCTGAATCAGACACACCTTAGATCTCAAACTGGCATTATTACTCCTCTTAATTTGGAGTGTTGCATGTCTGCAGACTTTCCCAGTACAATATATCTTCTGATATTTTGACTGCTAGTTCCAAGCATATTTACTGTGGATCCAAGTAGGGAGAATTCACTAGCAATCTCAGTCTGTTATCTTTCCATCATGATGTTGTCTATCAGTCCAGTGATGAGTATTTTGCTTTCTTGATGTTGAGATGCAATCCATAATTGAGGCTGCAGTGTTTAATCTTCTACACCAAGTACTTCAAGTTCTCCTCACTTTCAGCAAGCAACATGGATCATCTACATAACAAAGCTTATTGGTTAAAGTCTTCTTTCAATCCTTACATCATATTTTTCTTCATAGAATATAATTTATCAAATAATTTTCTAGGCATAGACATTAAATAAATCCAGAAAAAGAGCACAACCCCTAACACAAACCTTTCCTATTGTCAAAACATGAGTTTTCTCTTATTCTGTTATTACAATGACCTCTTAGTCTAGGTATAGGTTTCACCCTAGCACAATCATTGTTCTGGAATTCCTTTCTTCTCAATGTTGTCCACAATTTGTTACAATTCACATAGCCAAATGCCTTTGCATATATAAATGACAAGTAGACAATGAAGAAGAAAGGAGAGTGAGAAAGTACCTACTTGGTGACAGAAATTAGTCCAGAAATAGAATGATCAATTTTGTACATTCGCTGATTTATTAATTGTAAATACCCTTTAAAAAGACATAAATAATAACTTTGCCTATGGATCTTACCAAATAGATTGTATTGGAATGAAATTAAATAAATTTGTGGAAGAAATCATTGAAGACGCTCAGTATCAGCAGTCAAAACCAGACAAAATGCTAACTTGGAAACAGACCATCAATTACTCATGTGCAAGTTCAAATTGAAGCTGAAGAAAATGAAAATAAGCCCATGAGAACCAAAATATGATCTTGAGTCTATGCCACCTGATTTGCAAAATTAATCTTAATAATAGTTCTGAAGCATTGAACACCAATGGTAAAAAAACCCGATGAGTTATGGGATGAGATTAAGAATATCATCCATAAAGAGAGCAAAGATCATTAAAGAACAGAGGAGAAAGAAAAAGTAAAAGTGGATGATGGATGTCGCTCTGAAAATTGAAGAGACCCTGAAAAAACCCTTGAAAATTGCACTGGAACATCAAGAAGTGAAAACAATGAGAAGAAATAATGGCATAAAAGAGTTAAATATATTTCAAAAGGCACCTTAAGAAGACAAAGCAAACTAATGTAATGAAATGCAAAGACCTTCAATTGGAAATAAAAAGGGAACAACTTTTTCAGCATTTCTTAAGCTAAAGGAATTGAATAACAAATTCAAGCCCTTAGTTGCAATACTTAGTGAAGCTATCAGCAAAATAATGACCCAGGAAGCATCAAAAGAAGATGGAGTGTAATACCCTACAATGCATAACTTGGGAGAGACAGTAGAGTGTTATGCTAAGTGAATGAACTCAATCCCATAAGGACAAATACAGTATAAGACCAGTGTTGTAGAAATAGATAACTAGTAAAATGTGTATAAGGATCTAAGATCTAAGGGTAGTGAGCAGGAACAGAGGGGTTGTGGGTGGGTAAAGGGTAATCATGGGGTCCCATAGTTTGATGGGTGGAGGTGGGGTAGGTTGGGGAGGTGGGGAATCCAGTGTGAGGGTCAAGGTATACTAATTATGTAGGTAAACCAGTGTAAAATTGTGTGTGTGTGGGGGGGAAGAATTGCAAGAAATTAAAAAACAAGGTGTGGAGATGGTACAGAGTTACTGTAGCAAAATTAACTGACATTGAAATATTTCAGAAAGTACCAGATACGATCATATGGATAATGAGGGATGACATTCAAGCTGCACTTTCAGGTTTTCTATGATACTATCATATCACCTTCTTATAGAGATAGTTTTTCTTCCTCTTTGACAATTTGGGTACCACTTATTTATTGTCGCTCTCAATAAGACTTCCAATACAATATAAAATAGGAATGGTGATAGTTGGCATCCTTGCCTAGTTTTTCTTCTCAAGGGAAATACCTTTAATCTCTCTCTGTTGAGAATGATGTTGGCTATTGATTTGGAGTATAAGTTTTTCACTGTATTGAGGAAATTCCCTTCTATTGCTATTTTGTTGAGTGTTTTAATCAGGAAGGGGTCTTCTATTTTGTCAAAGGCCTTGTCTGTATCAGTTGATAGGATCCTGAGGTTATTGTTCTTTGGTTTGTTAATGTGATGAATTAAATTAATTGTTTATCTTAGATTGAACCATCCTTACATATCTGTTAGGAATTCCATGATTGTCATGATGAATCTCTTTTTTTTTCCTTCACATACTGTTGGATTCTATTGGCCAAGACTTTGCTGATGATTTTTATGTCTATGTTTATTAGAGATATTGGTATATAGCTTTCTATTTTACTGGTGTCTTTACCTGACTGATACCAGGGATTTTTTGTTTCATACAGTGAGATTATTTCTATTTTTGGAAATACTTTATGTAGAATTGGTTGGATATCTTCTCTGAAGGTTTGGTAAAATATACTCGTAAAACCATGTGGTCTAGGGCTTTATTTTGTTAGAAGTTGGGTTTTTTGTTTGGTTTTTTAATGGCCTGTTGTTTGAGTATATTTTTGTAACAAAATTGCACTGCTGCTGTTGTTGTTATGTGCTATAGTGTTGCTTGTGACTTATAGTGACCCTGTGTACAACAACTTTGAACTGTCCTCTATCCTGAGCCAACCTTACTGTCTCCAACACACCTACCTCCATTACTCCAGTCACTGAGTCAATCCTTCTAATCAAGGGTCTTCCCCTCCTGCACTGTCCCTCTACCCTCCCAAGAATAATGTCCCTCTCCAAGGATTGATCTCTCCTTGCAATACACCCAAAGTATGTTAGACAAAGCTTCAGACTCCTTGCCTCCAAGGAGCAGCCTGGTTTCATCCTCTCCAGGGCAGGGTGAACCTCTTTGTTCTTTTAGCAGTGCATGGTATATTCAATACTCTTCTCCAGAACCACAGTTCAAAGGCATCAATTCTCCTCCTATCATCCCTAGTTATTGTCCAGTTTTCTGATCCATAGCATGTAATTGTAAAGACAATGCCCTGTATAAGGTGCACTTTAGTCTACAGACAGATATCATTGCTCTTTAGTTCTTTGGAGAGGTCTCTGACAGCTGACTTTCCCAATGCAATTTGTCTTTCAATTTCCTGGCTGTTGGTACCAAAAGTGTTGATTGTGGAGCCAAGCAAACTAAAGCTGTTAATAATCTCAATCTCTTCATTATGATGATGTCAATCTGCAGTGGTAAGAATTTTTGTTTTCTTGATGTTGAGCTTCAATCCATAATGAAGAATGTAGTTCTTGACCCTCTGTAGCAAGTGCTTTAGGTCCTTTTCAGTTTGAACAAGCAACCTTGTGTCATCTGTACAGCACAGGTTGTTAATGAGTCTTCATTATTAACCTCTTTTTTTTTTTAGTTGATTCTGTTATGACATCATCTCTTTTATCTGTTGTTCAGATTATTTATATCTTTTATTTCTTTGTTAGATTTTCTTGTATTTTGTCAGTTTTATTAGATTTTTTAAAAAAATTTCTAGTCTTAATAGTTTCAATTGTTTTTCTGTTTTCTATTTCATTTATGACTGTCCTAATTTTTAAAAATGACTTTCTTTTAGAGGCTGTTGGGTTTTCTCTCTGGTCTTTCTCTCTTTGTTGTAGATGTTGGGTTAAATAATCAAATTTCATTGTGTCTTCCCTTTCAATGTGTCTGCTTAGTGCTATGCATTGACCTCTAAGTACTGCTTTGGCTGTGTCCCAGAGGTTTGGGTAAGTAGTGTTTTCATTTTCATTTCTTTTAAGAAATGTTTTTATTTCATCTACTACTCACTCATTTTCAGTTTCCAAGTTCATAGATTTTCATTCTTTATCTACTTGGGTTTTATTTCTAATTTATTAGCACTGTGGTGTGAGAAAATGCATTGTATTATTTTTTATTTTTTTTTATTTATGGAGGTCTAGAATATGATATATTCTGGAGAATGCTTCTTTCACACTGGAGAATAATATATACCGAGTTTTTTAAGAATGCATTAGCACAGATATACCTATGACAGTGACCTGGTTAATTGTAGTGTACTTCTTTAGCATCATTGTTGGGTTTCTTTCTGTTCATCCTATCTTTCCTTCTTCTTCTTGCTGTTATTTTTATGTGCCATCAAGTCGCCTGAGCCACATAGCAATCCTATGTACAATAGTCCTGAAACCTGCTCTATCATGAGCCAGTCTCACTGACTTTGACACACATATCCCCATTATCCAAGTTACTGTGTCAATCCATCTCACTCAAGGTCTTCCTCTCCTGCACTGACTGTCCACCCCCCAAGCATGATGCACTTCTCCAAGGACTGGTTCTTCCTGGCTATGCCCAGAGTATGTAAGATGGAGCTTCAAAATCTTTGCCTCCAAGAAGAAACTAATTTTAACCCTCTCCAAGACAGAAATGTTTGTTCTCTTGCTGGTCCATGGTCCAATACTCTTCTCCATTACCACAAATTAAGGACATTGATTCTTCTTCTGTCAGACAAAGAATCTTTCCTTGAGAGTGGTATATTAAAATCTCTTACTACTATAGTAGTGTTGTCTATTTCTTTTTTCAGTTCTGGTAACATTTGCCTTGTGTATTTTGCAGCTGCATCATTGGTCCAGAGATATTTATTATGGTTATATTATCTTGTTCTATTGACTAATTAAACATAAAATGGTTTTCTTCCAGTCCTTTCTGATGGGTTTTATCCTGAAATCTAATTTATCAGAGATTAATATTGCTGTTGTTGTTAAGTGCTACTCCTACTTTTTTTCTGTTTGCCATTTACTTGGCATATTTTTCTACCTTTTTGTTTTTAGTCTGTCGTTATCTTCCGTTTTGAAATAAGTCTCATGTAGACAGACTATTGATGGGTGTTGGAGGTTTTTTAATCCAATCTTTTTTCCTCTTCACTGGTGCATTCAAACAATTTACATTCAGTATAAGTATTGACAGGCAACATTTTATTGGCTGTCATTTGGTTTCATTCTTTTTTGTGTTTTTTTGTGGGTTACTTTGTTCCATCCACTTTTCTGTGTCTCTGTGAGAAAGACTTCCTTTAGTATTTTCTACAACATTGGTCTTGTTTTTATAAACTTCCTTAATTTCTGCTTTTCTGAGAGTACAGATTCTCCACTATGTTTATTTAATGAACAGTTTTGCTTGATACAGTGTTCTTGATTGACAGTCGTGTTCTTTGAGTGCTTGATATAAGTCATTATTCTGTCTTCTTGTTTCATGGTTTCTGCTGAAGAATTGGCTGTAAATTTATTTGCTGTCTCTTATAAGTCACTCTTCATTTTTCTCTAGCTGCTTTCAGAGTTCTCTCCTTGTCTTTGATTCTGGCAAATTTGACTATGATATGCCACACTGTTTTTCTTTTGGTGTATATTATATTTATGGTTTGCTCATCTTCTTTGATGTGTATTCAGTCATTCTTCATGATACCTGGAAAGTTTCCTTCTAGTAACTTTTCCACAATTTTCTCAGTGCACCCTCCCCTTTTTTTCCTTCTTCTTTTCCTTTCTGTTCTGGAATTCCAGTTATGTCAAAGCTATTCCTCCTGTTGGTCTCCCATATTAATCATATGCTTTCTTCATTTTTCTTCCTTTTTGATTCTGTGTTTTGCTCTTGCATATCAGTTTGGAGACTCTACTATTTTAGTAAGTCTGGGCTCCATGTTTAGTTCTGCTCATCTGTCCCTCCAACATGTTGACAGCTTCTCAGGTACTGGTCCTAGTATTATAGATAGCTGTTTCTTGGATTTCTAATGCCTCATTGTTTTTATCTGCATTGTCTGGAATTGATTGGTTGTTTGTGGGGCTTTTTGGGGATGTTTTGTTGTTGTTGTTGCTTCTTTGGTTTATTTTTAATTTCCTCTTACTTTTGCTTGTAAAATCCTTCAACTCTTTGAGGGGTTTATTTTCACCCATAGAAAATACTGGATCATTGTTCTTTTAAATTCTATAACAGAAAGGTCGTGCAGACTTTCCAACCACAGGAAATCCATTGGTTCTGTGTTTCAGTGACATTTTTGGCACATCTTGCTTTGATATTGTGTACGGTACAAGATAATCTGCTTTATACACATCATTGCTGTGATAGACTTATTTGTTTGTTTGTTGGTTGGTTGGTTTTTGTTGGGTTTCTTCCTAACCCAGTCCCTCAGGGACCTACCAGGTCCTTCGCCTGACTGCTTTGCCTGTGAGTTTACTGTTCAGAAGATTGGAAGGCAACTCACCCTGTCTGAAGAGAAATCTGGTACCTAGGTTCATAGGAAGATTTGCCACAGTTTGGGAGCTTAGCAGTCCAGAAAAGAAAAGAAGGGCAACTCACCTTACCAATGGCTTTCCTCTCTGATCCAGTGGCAAAGTTCACTGGTACTGGGAAACCCACTGTGAAGCAAACTTGTTCTGCTTCTGTTCTTGTCTTTCTGAGCCTCTGCTAATGGGATTGTTCACTGTGAAGACCACTAGAAAAGAAACTGAAGAAGAACTCACCCTGTCTCTGTTTCATTCTCTCTAGTCCTACATCAAGGCTCTC